ATGGGTCAAGGAGGTTGTCATCTAGGATCTGAATCTGGCTGTGGCTCTGTGACCCTACCTGAGGCACACAGCTAACCTGAGCAGGCCCATTCCTGTGGCCTGCGCCTGCCATTCCTCAGAGCCTGCACTCCCCTGTAGGATACGTAATTTTCTTCACTTCAAATCCTTCCTGGTATGGATGGAGTATAAATAAATTAAAGTCAGGATTAACTCTGCAAGAGCAGGGACTGAGTCTCCTGCTTCCTTGGCGTTAAGGGGAAGCAGGGTACAGGGTTTGGAAACAGCCCAGGCCCAGGCCCAAGCCCAGGCGAGTGCCTCAAGGCTAGTTGCTTGGTTGTTACCTTCATGAACAGACACACTGGTGGCCTGACTTGCGGATGGCAGGAGTCTGCGATAGAAGGGCAGAGCTTCAGAGTCCTTGTCAGCATTAGGGCTTTGGGCTCACAAATGCTCTTGGGGAGGGCAGGTCAGTGCATCCTAGTGTAGGAAGCTCACTGGGACCCCAACAGGCCAGAAGCTAAGGCCTCCTTTGAGCCCGAGGGCAGTCTGACCTGAATCAGCTGGATTCCAGAGGCCCACACACTTCCCTCTCTTGCTTATTCTTGTCCAGGGCACCAGTTTTATGTATGCATTGAGGTGAGAGGGTGCAGGGGGCCATGTGTGCCATGCTGGGCCCTGAACATGATGTTCATTTCTGCAGCCGATGGTCAGTGAAGCGGCTCCCCCACAGGCAGGGAACATTTTGCCAGGCTTGGATTAACTTCTGCATTACTGAGCCCCACCCCAGCACCACATTAACTCATTAAGACATCCTGGAGTGGGGGTGGCGGAGGAGGCAGGGAGAATGGGACTGGGCACTGATTGAGAAACTAAGCATGAGTGAGGGCAGCACCAAAGCCACCTGCCAGGTAGGTCTCAGCCCACAGCTGGTCTTCAGGGGATGGACACATCCATGTCTTGCTGACTCTAACCGCAAACCACAAACCAACAGTACTTTCTTCTCTGAAGCTAGTACTGGTGCTGGCCCTGGGCCCCTCTGGCTGGAGGTCTCTGAGTTGACCATCCCATGCTGTCAACACAGACTCAAACCCTCAGGAAGCCCAACCTGCTGAGAGTAACTGAGTGGGTGCAGGTAGGCCTCAGGGTCTCAGGCTGCCAAGCTGGACAAACAAGACAGCAGGGATGCAGTTCAGCGAGACTGAGTAAACAGCAGGCAAGGGACCAGAGAAGAAGGTCACACCACTCACTCAGGAGTTCTAGGGCAGCTCTTGCCATCCTCAACTTTTTTTCTTTGAAGTAAACCCCTCCTCCCACCCCTTCGTCCCCTCCCTCAGCTCACTGTAGGGCAACAGTCCAGTCCAAAGTCCCACCCAAGAGGAAAATCACATGACCTTGGCTTATATAATCTCCCTGTCACTAAACAGCTGGAACCCAGGGCTTGGGGAGATGAGTCAGCAGCCCCAATGGCAAATAGGACTCAGGTACTCTAGGTTCCCAGATCTTCTGCTTCTAGAAACAGGTCCCAGAGACGAGGGCAAGGGTGTGGAAGAGTCGTATGTGGGGAGGATTGGCTCTGAGCCTCAGTCCCTCGCTCCGCATGTGAGTAGCAGGTGCCCAGCCTGGTGACTGCATTCTGCAAGGCCCTGGGCCAACCCAGCTCTTCTTGGGGACAGGAGAGGGTGGCCTGGGCAGGGCAGGGCAGGGCAGGCTGAGGGCAGGGCTGAAACTGGTGGGCAGAATGCCAGGCTGGGGAGGGAGCAGCTGGAGGGGGTGGAGTGGAGGAGGATTAGGATGGATTGTAGGGTTAAAGCGCAGCCCTGGCAGGGCTCAGTGGGAACAGCTTGTCCTCCCATAGACCCAGGGAATAGGAGAGGCGGGGCGGAGGGGGGACATGACTGGGTTGGGTATTTGGGCTCCTGGCTCTCTGCAGGGCCAACCCACCTGGGTTGGCTTGGCATCCCCACTGGAGGTAGTGAAAGCTTTATTTTTATTTTAAAATCAGTTCGGAACCATCGTGTCCCTCATCTCCAATCTGTCTCTATTTTAAACAGAAGGTGGAGCCTTGGTCTGCCCTCATTTGAGCTGCACCTGCATGAACTGGCATTTTGTTGGTGCTTTTGCACTCATGGAAGGGGGTATTCAAAGTACCTCACATGCACCAGTTCTTTACTCAAGCTCAGCTGATCTACGATATTCCAAGTTCATGTTTGCTGTTACTGATAAGGAGGGGAATGATTCTGGTTAGAATTATTCTACTCCCTGTTTTTGACCTCCCTTTATGAATGCCAGCTGTTGTTTAAGTCAGCTACCCTGAGAGCCCCCAGGGCCAGGGCTGCCCCAAGGGGACCCAGAAGCTTCAGATTACCCTGGACACAGCCACAGGATGTACTTTCTCATCTTTGTTCCTCCCAAAGGTGGTACCCTCCCTGCTTCTTTAGCTACCAGATACTCCTTTTCTATCCTCTCCTTTCCCCTCTACAGTTTAAGCCAGGTCTTCCATAGCATTTTACTGCTGTCAGATTCCTCCACATCCGTTATTTGCTTTGAGCCTTATGATGCCCCTATGAAACGGGCAGGGCAGGCATGGCCATCCCTTTTTACAGATGAGGATACAGCTGTGAGGTGTTCAAGGTTAAGAGGCAGCCCATCTCAGTCCTGGATGACCTTTCCCTTTCCCACCACCTAGCACACTTAGACACACCCAGGGCTGCCTTCTATTGCCGTGACTTAAGAACTTATTTTCCCAAGTTAATCATGCATGCAGGGACCATGGTTCACACATGTCTTGCTTCCCAAAGTACTGATAGGGTACTGGAAGAGTGTGTGGAGGACTAACATTTATTGAACACCTACTGTGTGCCAGGCACTTTTACACACAGCCTCTTATTCCTCATGATAACCCATGATCACTCTAATTTTACAGAGGACACAGGTTCAGAAGTTAAGGAACACCTTTGAGGGCATGCTGCTAAGTAAGCCAAATGCCTTAAGTGAATGCATGGGAAGGTAAGATCCCCCAGTTCCCAAAGAGAGATCTGAAGGGAACCTGGAGCTGGTTTTAGAAAGAAGTGGTCCTGGCCCCATGAGCAGGGTTGCTCCCATCTCAACAAGGTAGTGTCAGCTCCAGGAGGTGAGGGTGAGAGAGGTGAGGAGATTAAGGGTGATGAGACTGACCCAGTAGAGGCCTTCCCTGGTTGGCAGGATCTTCCTGAGCACAAGCTTGATCGTAGGGGTAACTGAACAACTTAAGAGTGTTGGGGATTGTTTCTGAATGGGAAGGAGGGATGTTAGGGCTGCTGAATTTACTCCAGGGCAAACTGCCACCCTCTGATGTCCTCTCTTAAAACTCCCCTCTCACTGACCCTTGGGTGGGGGTAGAGGGCAGCTGACTCCAGGGAGGTTTGGGATATGCCTGTGTGGGAAGGAGACTGAGTCCCAGTAAAGGAGGAGACTCTGCTCTCTCCTGATTGGAGCTGGCGGGGGGGGGGGGACAATCTGCAATTTAGTCTGTAGAGAGGAGGTTTTTCAAATCTAAGTGTGCTTAAAGATAACCTGAAGAGCTTGTGAAAATGGTAGATTCCCAGGCACTATGCTTAGAAAGTCTGATTCAGTGGATCTGGGTAGAGCCTTGGTCCCTGAATTGTTGAGTTCTGCAAGTGATTCTGATGATAGCAGCCCATGACCCCACTTTGAGGAACACTGCATATCATAATGAATCTTCTCAGCAGAGTGGGGAGTCCTAGGAGACCTCTAGGCTCCAAGCCCTGCCACTGAAAGCTGCTCTCTAATAGCCCCCAAGATGAAAAACACCTGACATGTCCAAGTCAATGACTCTCCAATCCAAGTACATGTCCCTGCAAGAGCACATATTCTCTCCCAGGCCAGCTCTGTCATCTCCCACTCCTCTTTGATACTAGACCTCTTATGTAGCCAATGCTGCCTTGTCAGGATCTGAATGTTCTGGGAGGCACCAACTTTTGTATCTTCCATAGCATTTCACAGATAGCCCAGAAAGACCGAGACACTCTAAGTAATGTTATCAAAGTTGTCCTCGCAAGACCTTCAGTTAGATAAGCTTCTATAAACCAGAACCCCACCCATATCCTGCATCCTTGCTCTATTTGTCTGGACAAGCCCCCTAAGCAGCACTTCTTGCTGTGGCAGAGCCATTGTTTCCAAAAGGCACATGATCTATGAGTAAGGAAGATTATATAAGGTAATAAAGGAGACATAACACCCAACTCTAGAACATACGCTTGCCTGTCCATCTGTCTCTGTGTCCATCCATCCATTAATCTATCATTATTTTACCCATCTACCCACTCATCCACCCACCAAACCAGCCATCCACCCACCCACCCATCAGAATGTCATATCCATCCATCCAACCATCCATCCATCCATCCATCCATCCATCCATCCATCCATCCATCCATCCATCCATCCATCTATGCATCCATCCATCCATCCATCCAGCCAGCCAGCCAGCCAGCCAGCCAGCCAGCCAGCCAGCCAGCCAGCCAGCCAGCCAGCCAGCCATTTAATCAGCAGGTCTGCTGAGCTCTGTGCTGTCTTAGACACAAGGTGAAGGGTCTATGTATGATTTTGTCCCCATCACCTGAGCACTTGACACCTAGTGCGTACACTAATAACTACTGAAATGTAGCCATGTCCCCAGAGAGGTGTGTTCACGGATTCAAAACAGCCCTTGCTCAGTCTCCAACAAAGCCTCTTCCCTCATTCCAGCCCAGGCAGAGCTTAAATATGAAGATATTGAGTTCAAAGCCCCAGCCTAAAATTTCTCTACCATTTTCTCCAAAGACACAGACAATTACTGCCCTCCAGACACCCTGGTCCTCAGCCAATTAGAGCCAATCAGAGGAGACACTGATGTCCTCTTCCCCTGATATCTTAGGCCCAGGTATTAAGCTGGGTCTCTGAACTAGGAGCAAAAGCCTGAACAGAAGGAGGGATGAAGCCACATTAGAGGCCTCTCTTACCACAGGGAACACTGGTGGTCTGGGGGCCTCAGCAGCCAGTCCAGGATGGGGTAGGGCCTGCAGGGGACACTGGTGTGTTGGGTGGAAAAGGACAGGGTAAGAGTTGCAGTGTATGAGAGGGTAGTTGAGCATTTCCGGGAGCACTGCTGGACCATCGTTGAGGGTACAGGTCCTGAAGTGGTTTTCCTAGGGAGAGCGGGAGAGCCCTTAGCCATGTACCAAACCACATGCCAAGCCACAAGGCCACCAGGCCTGCCGAGATGATGTCCCTTGTCTCCACTAGGGCTGCAAGAGCAGCTGCCGTGGAGGCTTGGGAAGTAAACTTCTGCCTCTGATCACCTCAATCTGGCTCTTCTATATCAGGGGCTGCCTCCCCAGCCCATCACCCAGTCCCCAGGGGGCAAACTCACCATGGTGTCTCGCCCTGGGGAGCTGGAGCGGCTGGGCCCAGGGGCCTGGCCCTTGCCCTTCTCCCACAGAGTGTAACGGCCACTGGGTCGATAGGTGGGACTGAGGATTTCAGGGACTCGTGAGGGAGGGGCTTGGGTGGGCACCTGAGGTGCGCTGCCTTTGCGACCATAGTTCTCCAGGTAGTCGGCCAGGTACTCGGAGCGGCTGGCTGCCTGGTAGAGCCCTTGCAGGGCACACAGCTCCTTGCGAGTGCGGGCCAGCATGGGGATGCGGCCCAGGTTCCCCGGGTCTATCCGGTAGCTATCTGAGGTCCGGAGGCTGGAGAAATCCCGGGCTAGGTCTGATTGACTGTTCGACTTCTTCTGGGTCAGGGTTACCACCTGGTCGCGGGCACTCATGGGCAGGTAGCTGGGGGAGTTGCTGGTCACTCCATAAGGGAATCCACTGCCCCCGCTGAGTCCATTCCCTGAAGGCCGCTCAGTGCCCCGAGTCTGGCTCTCTGCCCGCCTACCACCCCCGTTGATGTCAGGTCTCAGCAGGGGGCGGCCCCTGTCATAGTCCAGGATTGAGGAAGGGCCATAGGTACGGGGACGGGTGAGGAAGCTGGTCGGGGGGCCTGGCTTGAAACCAAGCTTCTCCTTCTCCAGGAAGGAGGCAGCCAGGTTGGCCCCGTAGGAAGAGGGAGTGTAGGTGCCATAGCCTGATTTGGCGTAAGGGGCATCTGTGTAGCGGGCCGATTCTGTGTAGCGCTTCAGGGTGGAGGAGAGCTGGGACATCCTTCAGGGCAGCACTCAGTGGGGACTGGGAGCCTCATGGGCTGAAAGACAAGGAAAGCAGTTGTCAAAGGGCCTTGCCAGGCGCCAGGCTCCCACTGTACCTGCTCTCTATACCCAGCTGGCCAAACCTGAGATTGCAGTCAGGGATCACAGGATCCATTTCCAGCCAGAGGCTGGCCCATTGTTGAGAAAAACACCTCTGCCTGTATATCCAGACATGTACATGTGCATCTGTACCAGGCTGGCACATACCGGCCCAGTGACACCTCACGAGAGCACGAGAGATGGCCTGGCCTTTATAAAGCATCAAGGCAATCAGTTTCATCTCTGCAGCCCCCAAGCCACGTGTCATTATATTCCAACCCAAATCCTCTCTACTACCTCTCAGCCTCTGCAGAAACTCCTGAGTTGGGGAGACACCATGGCCCTTACCCTATGAACTGAAAATGCTGGACATTTCAAGAGCTAAGACCTCTTAGCCGATAAGTCAGCAAATCTGACTTATGGGCCAACCAGGAGTCTTTTTAGAATTACATACTGTCTGACCCGAAATGACTCAAGGTCCATTTGGTCAGCTCCCTGGTGAGGAAAAAGAGCCTCATAGGGAAGGTCAGTGTGAGTGAGCATGTCAGCAGTGGACTTGACTTGTCTCCAGACCCCATCCCAGAGTTCTTCCCTGGAAATTCGTCATAGATAGCCTTTTGTTCTAAGTGGAATCAGGGCCAGGTGGCCCTACCACCATCCATTTCCAAACAGCTCAGAGTGCTGACTTGTGCAAAGGGGGCCCCCTTGAGGCCAAAATCTTGCACTGCAGGAATCTCCCCCTGGGCACCCCTACTCCTTAGAGCTGGGGTGCATCTTATGAGGGTGGCACAGAATCTCTGAATTGAGGAGTTTTTTGGGGGACTACAGGGTCATTCATTAGACTGTCTCTACTGTACAGAGAAGAAAAGTAATGCTGGTTTGCCTAAGACCATACACTAGTGGGATGGCTCACAGACTAGACTGGAATCCAGCCCTTTTCTTTGAGGACCATGAGGGGGTGGGGGTGGGGTGTCCCTGGGGTTGTGTGCATGTGTGTGGGGAAGAACCAACCAGGACTCTCAGTAGTGTTTGCAGGGGCTGGTTTTGACTCTCTCTGTGACTGACTAGCTGGGTGATTTGGCACTAGTCTCCAAGCCCCAACTTCTCTCCCTGTAAAAGGAGTATAATCATTATCATCATGGTCCCTACCTCACAGGCTTGTTGCGAGGAATAAATGAGATAATAACATGTGAAAGCCTCAACAATGACAGTTGTTATTATCTCTGTCCCAGCCCCTGCCAGGCAGCCTGGCTCCTCCCTTTGTAGGCCTATAATAATGTCAGGACTGGCTGTCTCCTGGCCTGGCCAGCCTCTGACCTCAGCCCCAGGCGCCTGTCTTCCCTCCACAGCCGCCAGTGAGATGAGCAGATGAGCGGGTAGTGGGCACAATCTAGCCCACAGCCTGCCCTCGGCCAGTAGTCCACCCCATTTGGGCAGAGAAGAGCTGGTGCCAAACCCCAAATTCTAAGGGCATGGCAGGGAAAGTCAGTGCAGGCAAGGCTTGGGATAGGAGCAGGGATGAGAGCAGGTGGCAACTTCTGGATACACCCCGGAATAGGACTCTTTGACCCTGCCAGTCATCTCCAGCAGTTTCAGTTTGGAAAGCAAAAGGACTGGTTCAAATTTACTGTTTATCTCCCCCTACCCCCGCCACCTCCCCTCACCCAGGAGCCCTGGCCTGGGACCCTACACCCTTCATGTATTTTCTTTTGGCAGCTGTGCTCCCACCTCCAGCACAACTTTCACCCCTTTTTAGGAAAAGGTAACTGGAGGAAGGCCTCAAGTAGGTGAGAAGGAAACTACAAGCTTTCCTCCTATTTGCTCCATTTTCTGGGGTGCAGAGAAGGAAGAGAAGAAAAGCTGAGGGAGGCCAGGGGGATGGCCAGACCGAGGCACAGGGTGGGGGATGGGGGCATGGGACAAGTCCTGCTCTATTTCACTTTGGAGAGCTCCATCAATAATTCAAAGTCAAAGAGACTACAGGTCTCAGGAGCTGGGCTCTGGGACACAGGGCAGCCAATCAGATACATGCACCCCCCTCCTAGGGCATGAGCACATGCCTCCTCCCCAGGCCTCTCCCTCCCCCTTTTCCCACACTGAAGCTCCCAGGGAATTGGTATTCTGCAGGCAGTGCCCCAAGCTCGTGACCTCTCCTAGCCCTGCTGATGACGCAGAAGTGCTGGGGCCAAACAAGGTACAGCAGACAGGACAGGGACAGACAGCCTCTGGGACTGACCACAAGGAGCCTGGGGTGGGTGGGGAGGGAGGCTGGGGGCTAGAGGTGGAGCCACACCTTCTGGCTCACAGAATCTCAGGAAGGTTCCTAAATTCCCCCTTCCAATCTGGCAGACCTCCCCTCCCTGCAGCAGCCCTGGGTTGTCATGCCATCACTAACAACCCCCTGGAAGCTGCCTCTTAGCGCTGACAGCTGACTTAACAGTTCCTATGTCTGGGGAGAGGCCCTACTGGGCTGAGGCTTTGAGCATGCCTCTCCCCTCCCCCATCCTTCTTTTCACTCTTTTGAAAAGTCCCAGCACCTTCCAGGTGAGCGGACAGCTTGGGTTGGCGCCCCTTGGTATTACCTGACCAGGCTGTTCCTAGAGACTACAGAATGCACCACAGGCAGGAGCGCGGCTGGGGCCCTGACCGTGGCCTTGCTGCGTAAGACAGGGACAGGACGGGCACTCACATGGCTGCGAGTCTCCCTGTTGCCACAGGAACCGTTGGAACTGAATGGCCCTTTCATGGGGCAGTAGGAGGCAAGCCCATTGGCTGTGTTCCCCGCCCTCTCCCTGTCCAGTCTGGGGCCCCTGCTGCCTGGGCTGTCTTTGCTGTTTACCGTGAACTGGCAAGTACAGGCATGTGGCTCCGGGCGGAGCCTCCCCAGGTGTCTGCCACCTTTCTACCTTAGACACAGGGGCAGTTCACCTGCCCAGCTCCTCCTCCTTGCCATCTTCACGGAGTGCCTGATTCTCCCCTGTCACACAGAGTTCCCCAGGGCTTAGCTCACGCCCCAGTCTGGGGAGATGCAGCTATGTTCCTCTGCACCTGGCCACTCAGCTTCCTGACAGGACATTCGAGCACTGGGGCCATCATCTTCTCAGCATCCTTAACTCCAACACTCAGCTGCCTCTTCCAGGTGCCCAGTGCTCCAGCATGTTTTCATGTGGAGGGTTCCCAAAAGCCAGTGCAGTCTGAAGCTTTAATTATTTTGGAAGAATTACTGACATCATTTGAAAGTTTTTCATGTTTATATTAAATAGGCATTAAAATAAGTTTATTCAAATGTAACAGAATAAGCAGACAAGAAGCATAAATAATGAAACATTCCAATGAAATGTTTAGCATTCATATTTCTGAAGTTATTAAAGCTTCGCATTGTACTGAGACTTCTGGGACATGGTATATTAACTCACTTAATCCACACAATGGCCCCAAGCAGCAGGTGCTATTGTTATGACCATTTGCGGATGAGGACACCAGGGCTAGCAGCAGTGATGGGGATTTCCCAACATCATGCTGGAAGCAGTGGCAGAGCTTGACAGGGACCTGGGCTCTGTCCACTGACAGTCACCCTGAAGCCCAGACCCCCACTTTACACTTGCCTGGCCCTTCCTTGAGCTGGTGCAGTGTGGGAACCTGTGGTGCGGGGTTAGGGGAACCAGGTGCCATCCAGGCAACAACATGGCAAGTTTCCACTGCAAGCGGGAGAATGAAAGTGAAGCCAGGCGCAACCTGAGCCCCTAGTACTATACTGATGGGTCGGTAGATGGTCCAGGAGGCCTCCATTTCACCCACAGTGCCAAGCTTCTTCATGTCCCCAGGCACCAACATCTAGCTCCACCAGAGTCCTTGGCTCAAGGCCTGGTCTGGATATGCCCCCAGCTTCCTTCCCTGGCCACAGCTCAGCCCACTCCCCAGGGTACCCAGCTCCCATGAGTAAGGGGTTAAAATGAACCCAGTCCCTCTGGGGCAGACAACCCCCTTGCGTCAGTCAGTGTCATTTCCTGTTGCTCACGTGAGGGCTCCCTAACCTGCCCGGCCAGGGAAGCAACTTGCTCCCCAGGAATCCTAGGCACTCCTGGCCCCCAGGGTAGGGGATGGGTAATGCCCCACATCTCACAATATGAGTGGCCCCTCTCTGCCTAGATCTGCTCTGCTTTCTGGAGTGAAGGCAGCCAGCTTCTGTGGCCTGGCCACTGCCTGGATAGAAAGCCCCTCACTGGGGTTCAGAGGCATACCTCAACAGAGTTCAGTTCCTCCCTACAGCCCAGGTGTCCAGCACAGTTGAGTGGGGAGTCCCAGCTAGTCCCGCCAGGTGCTTGGGAACATCCACAGTGGTGATCTCAGAGCTTCCCAAAGCCACTGGCTAACAACATTGGAATGAGGCACCGCCGACATGCTGACCTTGGAGGGTACAGTGGGCTGAGAGCACCTTGTCTCCTTTCCGCAACCATCTCTCACCCTCCCTCTTTACTGCTGTGTGCAAGTGTCAACTCCTGGGACAAGGGATATGCTGGCAGGTGTGGGGATGCAGGTAGAGTGAAGACTGGGGAAGGGGATGTGTGTGCTTGTATGGTCCAGGATCACCTCTCTGACCCTGGGACTCTCAGCCTACCCGCTGTCTGCCAGTCTATCATTAGCAACTCTATCTCTCAGAGGCTGGCAGCCAGCAACCCACCCAATCGTGCCTAATGATTTTTAGTGCCTGTGGGCTTGCATGCCTTGGCAAGGGGTCAGCAAAGGGAATTTGGGCTCATCGCTATCTCTCTTGCTCCCAGAAGTTGCCCAAATACTGGGAGAGAGGGACAGAGAGGTAAAATAGAGATTGGAGATGAGAATCCTTACTGGTCGGTGGGCCCAGGGCAGTGTCCTTATAGGGTGCTTTGGGATGGTTGGGAGAGGGTGGGCGTCTCTATATTTCCAAGAAAAGGCAAAGCAATAGACCCCTAGGCAATACTGGTATACTTAAAAATGCTTTTTGAACCACACTCTCCTGGTTTCTCTTCCCCAGGGCCTGTCCCAGTTTCCCCCCATTCTCCTCTAGGGCTCCATTTTCTCTCTGTCCTGGGTCTCCAAGCCTTTGGTTTTGCCCATAATACCCACCAGGCCCTGTGGTCAGCCCCTCACATGCTCCCCCAGACAGACAGTCCCAGGCTCTCTGGGCAGTGGCCTCGTGAAGCTCAGATAGTAAAGGGGCAGCTACTGACCTGTGTCCGGGGCACTGGATGGGATTTGGGGGCTTCTTCCCCAGCAGGGCAGGGCGCACAGTAGAGAGCCCAGAGGCTGGAGTCTGACTTGGGGCCCGGTAATCCGGAGCTCAGGTTACGCTCTGATATATATAGTATCTTATCTGACCTCACGGAGATGGCTAGCTCAACTCACTTGCATTCCAAACCCGGGGAGATTTAAAGGGGCAGTGGCAAGCCCTCCCTCCGGGGCCTGTCCCGATGGGCCAGTGCCAGGCAAGGAGATCCCATGAGAACACTTTGAAGGGGGTATTTTGGAGTGGAACAGAAGGGGCATTCAAGGGGAAACAATATGAAAGAGGGTTAAGGGAGGGGGTGGAACCGAGGGAAAAGTCTGGAGAAGGAGGTGAGAACCCCAGAAGAAGCCTCAGTGCTAGTCCAACTCCTTTACTTTTGGAATGGACCTAGAGGTGAAAGGCAGCTTGCTCAAGGGCACACAGAGTGGGAGGCAGATAGTCCCAGCTCTCAGGTTTTCAATCCAAACTCTTATAATGGACTTCTAGACCCGAGCTTGTATTCCAGTTCTTTCTATTTATTGGCTCACAGACACTGGACAAGATTCACTGCCTGACCCTTATTTAACCTGTATAACAGGAGTAAATTATAAAATAATACCATATCTTATGGTTATGAGGATTAAATGAAGAAATGATACTTGTAAATTTCCTGGCACATAGTAAATGTTCAATAAATGATAACTATTATCTTATTGAATACTTCCACTTATTATAATTAAAGGTGGTATTTACAGTAGCACCTCCCAGGTCAACCTTCCAAGGAAAGAAAGGGCCTCTAGGCTACCCCTCCAGAGTGCTCATGCCAGAGTAAACAGCCCATGGTTTTCTGAGCTGGTCCATGTCCCATCACCAACAAGGGCAAATGAGTTTGGCCATATTCCCGGTGACCAGCCCACCCAGCAGAGAAGGGCTAGGCCCATCTGTGCTCCCCTTCACCTAAAAATATAGCAAGTGCAGCTTCCCCCAGGCTACTAGGAAAAAGTCCAGCCCCTCTGGGCTGGTTCCACTCTACCTGTAGGAATGCTCAGGATTGCCAGGCTGCAGAGCAGGGCTGGGCAGGGGCACAGGATTCTTAACCTCTTGGGCCTTGGTGCTCTCTTCTGCTTCCCGTCTGTCTCTCCTGTGTCTTGATGGCTCTCCCAGAGGACTGGGAGGACCCATGGCAGGGCCTCCACCCTGTCTCAGGCTACTGACTCAGCGCGGGTCCTGTGATGCACTTCAGAGGACGCCCTTGTCCCCGGCCTTCATTCCAGTCCTCATTCCGACTCTACTTTGGCATGCATCTACAGCATCAAAAGAGTGGGGGATGCCCCACCCCCAGCCCAACCAACTCTTCTTTCCTCCACTTTTGGGGGTCTGACTTGGAGGGAAGCCTCGGTGCTAGTCCAACTTCTTTAGTTTTGGGATAGACCTGGAGGTGAAAGGCAGCTTGCTCAAGGGCACACAGAGAGGAGGAGGCAGATGGGACCAACTTTCAGGTTTTCAGTCCAAACTCTTATAATGGACGTCTAGACCTGGGCTTGTATCCCCGTTCTCTCTCTTTTATTGACTGGGGAGATGAGCATCACCACAATCTCCAACTAGTCCCACTCTAAGAGCAGCCAGGTCAGTTCACTCTCAGAGGACGGCTAGAACGGGTTGGGAGGGCTTCCCTGGGCTGTTAGGTCCAAGTTACTTTGCTTCTGAGCACCCATTCCTACTGCTGGTTTTGGGATTGGTGAGAATTTCAAAGATGCCTCTTTCCGGGTTTGGGATTGGTGGGAAAATCTTTTCCACTTAACTGCTGCCCTCCCCCGCCCTCCATCTCATTTGGCAAACTGACCAAAGACAACCTCCCTCCCGCCCCCTCCCCCCCCACTACTTTCAGAGGAGGGAATCAGTGAGGTGCACGCACACATGGGCAGGGGGTTGTCAGTGTCCAGGCGTCACTCTCAGGTCCAATGCAACACAAGGCACAGCGACCCCGGACCTGCCGAAGCAGCATTTCCTTAGAACACACTGATCAGCGCACAGATGGCTCCTCCTGGCACCCTGGGCTGTCAGCTGGCAGGCCCCCTCACACAACTGGCATCCACAGCTGGCGCTCCTCGGCGCAGCTGGCCCTCGTCCTATATTTCCAGTGTCCATTCTGCCCAGGCTGACGTTGACACCTCACTTTCTGATCCTCAAACCACACTGACCTCCGTATCCCCCGCTCCTGTCTCCGACAGGTGGCACGTACCTGCCTCTTCTCCGAGGATGGACGAGTGGAGCCGGGCACGAGCATGGAGCTGCGGGTGAGTCCGGGCTGGTACTGGCGCGGCGCAGCGAGCAGCAGCTGACGCAGAGGGCTCTCTGGCCTCGGCTCCTGCCCGCCTCTCCCCCACCTCCGCCGGGGGCCCAGAAAGGACCTCCCCGGGAAATCGGCGCCACCCAGCGGGCAGCCGCCTCATTGCGCCCGGGCCTGCGAGGCCACACCCCGCGTCTCGCGTCACTGAGACGCGTCATGGTCATTGGCTTGTTCTTATTGTGGCGTCATTAGAGGCCCGCCCGGCGAGGGTCTCCCAGGCGACGGATGTACACAGAGAACCACGTGGAGGAAAAGCACGCGAGTTTTAGGGGGCGGAGCAGGAAAAGAAGTAGATCGGCCTGGGACCCGACAGGGCAGCTGGAAGGTATTGGGAAAGAGGAGGGGCCATCGGGAGAGGGTCTAGAATTCGAGCCCCGAGGCATATATGTCAACGTTCAGTTTTCAGAGAAGGCTAGTGCACCGAGTCCTTCCCACCCGGCATCTCTTCTCTAGAAGACACTCTACTCTTTTACTCCCGTGAGGGCGGTGATTGGTGTTCATTTCTTGAGTGGGATAAGCGGCACTGAGTCAGTGGAAGGAATTCCGTTTTCTTTCAAGAAAAAAGCTTAACAAAAACTCGAAGTTTTGCCTCTTCCCATTCTGTGTGTAATCGTTTCCTACCCAGCTAAGGAGATTGGTGCCAAGGCAAATTCAGGTTTTCGGTTTCACTTGGCCCATCAATGTTTCCTAGTGCCCTTGGTGCTTTTTCCCATCCTTCACAGCTGCTGCTTCTGCCCATCACATTCAAGTTCCTCCTTGACTTTCATTTCCCAGAGAAACACAAGGGGGTTATTTAAGTTTCTGCCTACAAAACATAACTGTATCCATTCGTACCTCTGCTCTCTGAGCAGTGAAAGAGGTGGCCCTCTTCTTGTACACAACCAACCCCTTCTGGAATTGCAAATCTTTATGTGCCCTTTGGGCCTTGATTCCACCACATATTATACATGCTTATTGAATAAGCCACGCGCTGGAGATACAGCAGTGAACAAAACAGGCAAAATCCTGGCCCTACATTCTAGTTGAAACAGGACACTAGCAAATAAGTAAAGTAGATAATATGTTAGATGCAGTAAGAGCCCTGGAGGCAAGTAAAGGAGGGAGGAGATATGGTGTATGTGTCACCAGAGATGCCTCAATGAGAAGGTATCATCTGAGTGACCTGGAGGAAGCAAGGTAATGAGCCATCGGATATCGGGGAAAGAATGTTCTAGGCAGAGGGAACAGTAAATAGTAAATGTAAACAGTAAATGTATATGCCCCTGAGGTGGGAGCATACTTGCTGTTTTTGAAGAGTAAGAAGGTCAGTGTGGGTGGAGTGAGATGAGGTCAAATAATTAAGGGATGGATCATACCTTGTAGGACCTTAAAGCCATTTTGCTGACTTTGGTTTTCCCTGTGAGCTGGGGGGAGCCAGAGCAAGAGATCAGTGCAATCATTTCATAAGAGATGTCAGTGGATCCATTCATGTGGCAGCAGGAGAGGTGACAGAAGTGGTTGCGTTCTAGGTGTATTTTGAATGTGAGCCAATGGGCTTTTCCAGTGGGTTAAGTATTATGAGAAAAAGGGAGGGATTTTTTACCTGAACTGAGAAGGTGTATTGGTGGAGGGAGCAGAGTTTTTGTGTGTGTGGAGGCCCCGCGGAAGTAGGAAGATCAGGAGCTCAGTGTAACATGTATCAAGTTTGAGATGCCTATTAGGCATGTCCAGATGCCAAGAAAGCAGTTGGATGTACAAGTTTGGCAAGGTCTGGGCTGGAGATAGAAAACTGAGAGTCTCCAGCATATGGGTGTTATTTAAAGCTATGTGATTAGAAGAGCTTACCAGGGGAGCAGGTAGGGATAACAAAGATGTGCCAGGGTTGAATACTGGAGCTCTCTAACATTAAGTGACTTTAGAGTAGGAACCATCAAAGAAGCTGAGGAATGAGCAGTGAAGTAGAGAATCAAAAACCTGGGAGATGGTGTACTGGCAGCCAAGAGAAGGAAACCTGTTCAATGAGGAAAGATCATATTGTGTCAAATGCTGCCTATAGGTGAAGATAAATGTGAGAAGTATTTAGAAGCTTGTTGGTGACCTTGACAAGAATGGTTTTGGTGCAGTGTAGGATTGCAAGTCAGATGTGGATGGGTTCAAGAAAGAATGGGAGGGGAGGATGGAAAATTCTTTGATATATGAAGAAGAGAGATTGTGGGGGAGGAAACAGGAGAAATGAAGTAAATTTTTTTTAAGTGGTTAAAATATGTTGGTATGCTGATGAGAAAGAGCCAGGGGAGAATGAAAATTGATGATAATGGTGGTGAGAGTGGAGAGATTAGCTGGAGCTGTGACCTTGGTGATGTGAAATGGTATTTAGTACAGAAGTGAGGGCCTGACTTTGGTTAGGGGCACAGAGGGTTCATTCAAAGTTGAGAGGAGGCAGATTCTGGCAGGTGGATGGTTGTGGGGGAAGCTAGTGAGTAAGGAAGCAAGGTCAGCTGAGGGTGAGGATGAAGGAAGAAGGGTTGGAAATTTAGAGGAGGAGTTAGAAGCTAGTGATCTATTGGAATCATCTGGAGAGTCTTAAAACCCTACCCAGAGTTTTGGATCCAGCAGGTATGGGGTGGGCTTGAGAATTTGTATTTTTTTTAGATTTATTTATTTATGCTTACAAGAACTGGGGTACAGGCCAGAGGTGTGGGGGGTGAGAGGATTCACCAGAAACAGAGTGGGAACAGAACAGGCAGATGTACTGAAATACACTGCTGAGGGGAGCAGTGGGCGAGTCAGGAGAGGTCTACTGCGCCATGTGGGTAGCTCCCTGGCCAGGGATCGAACTCATGCTGCAGTGGCTGCAGATAGCTTCATAGGTAGCTCCCTTTGCCACCAGAGAGGCCTGAGAATTTGTATTTCTAACAAGTTTCTTGTTGGTGCTGCAGCTGCTGGTCTGGGGACAGTCTCTTGAAAACCACTGTGCCAGAGAGAGGGAGGGTGACTGGATTCTGGATTGATCAAGGCTCCATTTGAAGTTAGGAATCATGGAAACATCTCCATTAGTGTTCTTTCTCATCATGTTCACAGTCACTGACAGGTTAGAAGTCCTGCATCTTTAAGACTTTCATTTTCTGCTGACTTTTCCTTTGACATGTATTACTCTACAAATCTGTCCACTTGAAAACATGAAAATCTTTAATTTAGGTTCCGGCTGTCTCCTCTTCCCAGGTTTCCTGCATTTAGTATCTCGCATTTCCCCATCTCCTCCTCTACGCAGCACCAGCAGGTCCTCTACTTCTCCGATGTCAGGAACCCTCCCTCACCTGTCCTTACGGATCTCCTCTCTAACTTCCAGGGGCCTTTTCACTTATATTCAGTTACTCAGCCCCCTGCACATCTAGTACCAGCGGTTTCTGTCCTGAAATCCTCTCCTCCTAGATTTTGTGACACAAGGCTATTTTGGTTTTCTTCCTGCAGCTCCTCCTGGTCCTGTGGTTTATAGCAGGCTGTTGTTATATGTGCAGATTGTAGATTTCCAGAGATAACTTAGGATTCTTCTGTGAAGTCTGAAACACTATTTCTTCATATATTACAGAAATGGGATTTAATAGACTAATATGCATGAAAAGCTTCTGGTGGTGCTGGCTTGTAGTGAATCCCTAAGCTCACTCTGCTCTGTTCCTCATCCCTTAGCTACACCTTGTTTGCCTGATGATGCCCCGATCTGTATTTCAGGCAGACCTCATGCCTGAGCACACTATAGATACCCAGGTGCCTCCGTGGAATCCCATCAGCCTTTCAACCTCAGCATGTCCAGACTCATCGTGTTCCGCTGAATTCCCCCCTCCTCTATCCCTTACATTTATGAATAGCACCATCATCTCTTCAGTTGCCTAGCCAGAAATTTGCTAGTTTCTAGCTTTGCCTCCATTATTTTTTACAATTATGTTTACTACACTGTAGTTTAGTCTACAAATTCAGATATGTGGGAAATGTGGCAGGCCTTTTCTGTAGCATAACTGTGTTTCTGTTTGGAGCCAGTCCCCATTCTGCTGGTGTGGCAGAAATGTAGTTTCAGTCAGCTGATGGCTAGCCCCTCCCTTCTCCAGGGACTCCTACCTCCTAGGGGAGCATCTCATCTATTGGTATATTCACCAAAGCACTGGAGGAAGCGGCCCTCGTTTTTCAGTGGCCACCCAAGTGCCCCTTGAAAAGTGTCCTGACTGCTTCCTACTTGCTTGGCCTCTTTAGGCCTGGTGTTTCCCTGCCACCTTTAGGTCACTCCTGGACAGGTTGTGGTCACTCTGCAGCTTCCAACCGTGAGTAGCTAGACCTGTGTGGTGCTGTCCAAGGTTCCAGCTACTGCGGGTGGGTTACACTCAGCTGTCATTTCCTCTTTTCTTGGGCCTTGTCTCTTTCCTGAAACTCTAACCAGGAGGAAGGGGTGTGTCCCCACTGCTATCAGATCTCTTCATGTTCACAGTCACGGTCACAGGTTAGAAGTCCTGCATCTTTAAGACTTTCATTTTGATGTCTCTCCATGCTCAGGTCCCTGAGAACAGAACCCACCAATATCTGTGTTTTTTTTTTTAATGTCTCTCCATGCTCAGGTTTTGATGTCTCTCCATGCTCAGGTCCCTGAGAACAGAACCCACCAATATCTGTGTTTTTTTTTTTTTAAACGGGGAAAGGGAAGATTTAATACTTAAGGGTAAGCTCAAAATCAACAATATGCACTTGTGAGTCATAACAATAGTAATAGTGTTCAAATGACATCTAGGCAACAGAGTGAACTACAAAATATAAATCCCACATATACATGTGGACAAAGAAGTGAACAAATCATCTTCTTTATGTCTATTTCACCCAGATATATTTTCCTTGTGGGTCAATTATTTTAAAAACCTATTAAATAATGTGCCTGAAGACATTTTATGAGATTACTTATAAAATTCAAAA